TGCTAAGTGCTGCGCTAAAAACACTCGGCTAAAAAAAAACACTCGGTAAAGAGGGGGTTTGTCGAGTGTAAAAAAAAACACTCAGCAAAGAGGGGGTTTGCCGAGTGTGTTTTTTTTGACACCGACAAAGGAAAAAAATCTTTTTCTAGGAAAGAAGGAGAAGAAAAAAATGAAAAAAAAACTTTGCCGAGTGCCCAGATCTAGGATACTCGGCAAAGGAAAAAAAATCTTTTTTGTGGGAAAGAAGGAGAAGAAAAAAATGAAAAAAAACTTTGCCGAGTGCCCAGATCTAGGACACTCGGCAAAGGAAAAAATCCTTTTTAACCGGCCCCAGCGGACGCCCCTCCCCCTCCCGCTTCTTGATTCCCCCGCAGGCGGCCCGCCCCCTCCTCTTCTTCCCCATCGTCGGCCTGCCCCCTCCTCTCCTCTCTTCTTCGGATCCGATCCCCCCCCCCCCTCCCCCCTCCTCTGTTCTCCAGATCGTGCGCCGCCCGCCCTCCTCTCTCCCTCTCTTCCCGGATCCCGCGCCGCCCCTCCTCCCTCCTCTCTCCGGCACCCGCGCCCCCCTCCTCCCCGGATCCGGCGCGCCCCGCCCTCCTCCCTCTCTCCTCCTCCTCCTCCTCTCCGGATCTGGCGCGGCCCGCCCTCCCTCCTCGCGCCCCCTCCTCCTCCCTCTCCCGGATCCGGCACACCCCCTCCTCCTCCCTCTCCGGCGCGCCCCCCTCCTCCTCCCTCTCCCGGATCCGGCGCGCCCCCGCCCTCCTCCCTCTCCTGGATCCGGCGCGCCCCCTCCTCCTCCCTCTCCCGGATCCGGCGCGCCCCCTCCTCCTCCCTCTTCGGCGTGGCCCCACCCTCCCCTCCTCCCTCTCCGGCCCTCCCTCTCCCGGATCCGGCGCCGCCGCCCGGCCCCCTCCCGGCCCTCCCTCTCCAGATCCGGCGGCGATGGGCGTGGTGGTGGTGGCGGGCATGGCTGTTGTGGCGGCCTGGGTGTGGTGGCGCGGCGTGGTGGGGCCCTCCCTTCTTCCCCGGTGTGGTGGCGGCTGCGTGGATGGTGGTGGTGCAGCGTGGTGGGGCCCTCCCTTCTTCCCCGGCGTGGTGGCGGCGACGTGGATGGTGGTGGTGGTGCTGGTGGTGCGGGCGTGGTGTCGGCGGCGCTTTTTTTATTTTTTTGAAAAAAAAAAGTTTGCCGAGTGTTTTTTGGGCACTCGGCAACTTCTTTGCCAAGTGCCCGATAGAAACACTCGGCAAACTAGCGTTTGCCGTTAACAAGTTAGCCGAGTGTTATTTGCCGAGTGTAACACGGCAAACCCTTTGCCGAGTGTTTTTGGGACTTCGCCGAGTGCCCCTGGCACTCGGCAAATCTCATGTATCCGGTAGTGGCGGAGGTGTAGAAGATTCAGGAGACAACTGCGGTTGTTGCTCCCCACCTGCAGACTCAGTCTCTTCCCCTTGGCTCCAACCACGCGGAGTGGACAACCTTGCATGCGAGTTGCTGCATGCGAGTTGCCGCTGGTCTGCATCAGAGTTGCCGCATGGGAGTTGTTGCTGATCTGCATGGGAGTATGCATGAGAGTTGCCACACGCTAGATCGGCATGGGAGTTACCATCAGTGCCTGTTGACTGAAGCAGATCGACCTCATGTCCAGCGCCGATGCATGGCTGTATATTTGCTGTGTTCCCTGCCTTAATTGTTCCTAAATTTTCTTCAACAATTAAATCAGTAGGGTTAGCAGCAATATTAGCAAATTGATCAACGATATGTGCGCCCCCCAGGATTTATCAAAGTTGGATGAAGGAGATTGATTTCAGACCAAAGGCGTGCGCCTGCATTGGAGTGAAGTTCAGAAAAAGGAAAAACTTCTTCATCAAACACAGCATCCCAAGATATATAAACACGCCCGGAAGCTATATCAAGACACTTGAATCCCTTATGGAGGTGAGTGTATCCTAGAAAAACACAACGTTTGGATCGATATTCAAGTTTGTGAGAATTATATGGGCGCAAATTAGGCCAACAAGCACACCCGAAAACACGAAGAGTATCATAATCCGGTTTTTGTTGGAATAAGCGTTCTAGAGGGGCGTGGGGTTCTGGATAATAGGACTTGGAACACAGTTTATCGAATAAGACGCTGTGAGAAAGGCTTCATTCCAAAATTTTAGGGGAATAGAAGCATGAGATAACAACGACAAGCCTACTTCTACGATGTGGCGATATTTTCGCTCTGTCACCCCATTTTCTTGATGTGCGTGGGGACATGACACTAGATGGGTGATCCCTATTTTGGTGAAGAAGGAATTGAGTTTTTTAAACTCTCCTCCCCTGTCGGTTTGCATGCAAGAATGTTTCGATCAAAGAGTCTCAACAAGAGCCTGAAATTCAAGAAATTTATGGAAAACTTCAGACTTATACTTCAAAAGATGGATCCAAGTGAATTTACTGTAATCATCAATAAAACCCACATAGTATTTTTTTTCTACCAACTGATTCTGGTGCAGGCCCCCAGACATCCAAGAACACAAGTTCTAAAGGAAAAGTAGACACACTTGAAGATCTTGAATAAGGCAACTGATGACTCTTAGCTTGCTGACATGCATCACAAACAGACCTACTAGATGATTCATCTAGGCAAGACAAATTATTGCTACTAATAACTTGTTTAACAATAGCTGAAAGCGGATGACCTAAACGACAATGCCACCGTGACAAGGGAATCCTAGCAGCACCACAAGCCTGCTTTATTGGATATGAAGGAAGAGGATAAAGCCCGTTGTGACATCTCCCTCTAAGAATTGTATTCTTCGTTGCCTGATCCTTGATCAAAAAGAAGTTTGGATGAAATTCCATGAATGCAGAATTATCATAAGCTAGATTGTTTGTTGCTTGGGGAACATAGAGAACATTTTTAAGATGAATATCACGATTTGGGGTACGAACAGTAGTATGACCAATATGACTAATATTCATACTTGCACCACTTGTTGTGTGGATCTGATCTCCTCCATTGTACTTGTTTCTGAAGGATAGCTTCTCCAGCTCACCAGTGATATGGTCGGTGGCGCCGGTGTCCGTGTACCAATTAGTGTCAATGGTGTAGGAGTTCATTACAGCCGATACTAGCTTCGTATCTGGCACGTAGTTCTCATCGAACCTGTGCCAGCATTGATCCGCCATGTGCCCGAGCTTGAAGCAGACTTGGCATAGAGGGCATTCACCACCATCAGATGGCTGCACACGGTGGTTGTTGTTGTTGTACCCACCGTGCCCACCGTCCCTTTGCGATGCGTTATTGAAGTTGCCGCGACCACGTGCCGATGCACCGCCGCGACCACGGCCACGCTGTTTGTTCTGGCCGCCGTGTCCTCCTTGACCACGGCCTCCTCCTCTTGCGAAGCCACCACGTCCCCGACTAGTGGCATTCACCGATCCAGACCTGGGACTGCTTCCATAGGTCAGGTCCATGCGGGTCTCAAAGTTAAGAAGTTGTGAGTACATCTCCTCAACCATGATGGGCTCAACCCTAGCAGTTAGGGCTGTGACCAGAGAAGTGTAGTCTTCTCCAAGTCCGGTGAGAATACACTCTACCAGTTCTTCATCATCAAGCTGTCGTTTGGCTGCAGCCATCTCGTCGCCAAGTGCCTTCATCTTCGCGAAGTACTCAGCAGCGGTGGAATTTCTCTTCTTGGTGTTGGCGAAAGCGATGCGAATGTTCACGGTGTGTGCACGCGTCTGAGATGCATACATCTACTCGATGGCCTTCCAGACCGCCGCCACAGTCTCACATGTGGGGACTTGGATCTTCACCTCCTTTGCGAGCGATGACAGAAGAAAGCTCAGGACCTGTTGGTCCTTGGCTTCCCATTCCTCAAAGGCCAGGTTCGACCTCTTCTCTTGTTTTCCATCAACGGTGGCGATGAGCTCCTCTTCGGGTGCCTTGGTGTCGCCGGTAATGTTCACATGGAGACGAGCGCCGCGTATGGCTAAACAAACTTTGGCTTTCCACAGCGCATGATTCAGCTTTCCCAATTTCTCCGAGACAGCTTGGCCAGAGAGAAAATTGGTTGATGAGTTGGAGCTAGACATGGCACTGGATTTGGTGGATTGGATTTTGTGGAGGTTAGGCTCTGATTATCATGTAAGTGATATCAGAGGCGCAGATGGTGGAAGCGCCAGGCCCGATCTTGGATCCTTGGTGAATGCATGTTTCTCATTAGATGGAAAAGCCCCATCTGTAGCACTTTACATAAATAGCCAGCTGACAACCTTTGGGAGATCACCCAATATTCTTTACATGGACAATAATCAATCGTACTCCTATTCATGCATGATATATTCTAACACATGATCTAGTCTACCGCAAGATCTGGTCATAACACACATGCACACACACTTGATCTAGTCTAACGCATGATGTGGTCATAACTCATAACACACATGCACACGCATGATCTAGTCTACCATGGTTGTTGCCGATTGTTAAGGTTATCCTTTAACAGCATGTTCCACTGATTTCCTTGATGTCCACGATTCCGACCACCTCTGTCTCTCCTCTCACGAGGGATCCATCCACGATTGCCATGACCATTCCAGCCGCGTCCACCTTTGTTTCCCCCAAATCCCCTGTCAACGAAATCCACGATCGTGAGGAAGCCGAGCCTTCACCGCTGTGCCATCCCCCTTCACGGTCGTAGAGGAGCCGCAAGGGTTCTTGGGAGCATCTCGGAATCGCCCAAGCACGAAGAAGCAGAGAGAGGAGAGAGGGATGAAGAGGCGTGGGAAAAAAGTGGTGGAGAGAGGATGCCGTGTAAGACGGTAAGACACTAACTCCAGAAGCATCTGGAGTTCGCTTCAAATTTTGCAGGAGCTGACATGGATCAACTTATTATTCGCTTCAAATTTTGCAACGCAGTTGGCAACACATGAGCTGAGGCATCGATCCATCAAAGCATTGTGCTTCGGTTTGCACGCACGACGCCAGCTAGCCGGTGCCACTTAGTAATCAATTACTGATAAGCATCCCGCCGCCTCCATGGCCGCCGGCTGCTTCTCCTTCGCCGTCGTTGGCTTCTCCCCGCACGACGGTTCTGTCTTTGATGCATTCGCAACTTGAGTTGGTGCATTTGCCGCTGGTGAAGCCGCAACCCGGTTCAATCGAGCAGAGGTTGTAGCACATCTCGTCGTTGTAGCACTTCATCCCCCACGTCAATTGGCAGTCGAGGTGGCGTGCTGTTGCGCCTGCAACCACAAGATCGATCGAGTTTAATTTATTTATTTATTTGGAGATTTCCAAGCATGATGCATTAATATTAGCTGGTATGTAGTGGTAGAACTCACGATATGACGACGCCATGAGCAAGGGCAAGGTGACCAAGGCAGCGCCCAAGTGTTTCTTGTTCATCATCGGCATGATCACGACTTGAGTGGACAAGTGCTTGCGTATGTACCAACAGAGAGCTAATGTGTTTGATATTTATAGAGAAGTATAGGGATAGAGGTATAGAAAAGAGATAATGTATAGATATTGTTTTAGTTAGAAACTAATGATTTCCCCACTAACCAATTAATGATTTCCCCACCTAGCTTCATCCTGAAATATAAAGGATTTTCATTTATTCTAAGTTAAACCATTCTTAGTTTAACCAAGTTTATGAGACAGAATATTAATATCTATCACATCAAAGGAGTATTCCAAAGTTGTAAGTAATTCTACCTTCTTTAGAGATATAAATTTTACCATTTATCGAGACATACTTATTGCATCGTAAACCTATATATCTATACAGGCCAGAATGACCTAAAATTTTCAATGAAGGGAGTACATTCTATAGAGTATCAAATGAAGCATCAAGTTAAATGGTTCGGCCGAGGACAACTGAAATCATTTATTTTTTTAGATTTTAAATTAGTAAATACATTTCTGATCTTGATGGCCCATATCTTTTCTCTGGTATCTGACTCTATCCCTTCTGTTTTCTCTCTGCTCTCTTTCTACCGCATACTTTAAAGGAACTGTTCCCATTTTACTCCTCAACATCTGCTTCTTGTTCCACTTCTACTTATAAGGGCCCAACTCTAGGGGCAGGACAGGACATGCGACCACCTTTGGCCCATATCGGAGAGGGGCCTATGACCTCAAATATGCAGTACCTTACATGCATATGCATTGTCACACTAGAGTTGAGGCCCACATACCATCTAGTACGTGAGGTGATCACAAATGCAAAACACTGCATCGAGCGATAGTCAATATATAGACGGATTAGGCTGAACCATCTTGGCGCACCATCCTTGTGGATCACTGTCCGTGGTGACAAATCACAATTATCACTTTGTCATAAAAAAATCTCTTATAATCTCCTCAAGAGCTTGTCGGTATCCATGCAAGATTGTGCTTTTTTTTTCTCTTGTCCCTACACTCCTAGTGCTTAATCATTTATTGTTGTTGGGCCTGAGTATAAAATACTAGATGTAGACTCTATGCTCTTTTCGAAAGGATTTGAATTGTCTTCATAAGTTTTGGTTTCACTAGATTCGGCTCAAGATATTCAAATCATAGTTTTGCGATCTTGGCCAACAACATTAGAAACTGGTGTATTTTTTGCAAGGTTGGATATCATCCGACCTTGCAGTAAGTAACATTAACAACAATTGACTCTTCTACTGATTTACTTCCTCCAGTACCCTAATTTTGAATATTAGAAACTAGATCTGTACTATTATCTTCACCAATAGTCTTATCAAAAGTATTAAGCATAGCATTAACGAGATTGGATTGATGACTGGATAAAGTACCTCAACGGTTCATCTCCCTCAGTACGTTGGTGTTGTTGGGTGGATGCAACTTCTTACCTTAAAGACACTAACATTCTTTGGTTTTTGGTGATAGGACAGAAACAATCTTGTAGTTGTTTATTCAAATTCTTGCATGTACTACTTATATAGAATCTTTATAAAGTGTCAACATATTGCTTCAGTTGATTTTTGCCATGAAAACCAAAACAACGTCGTCTCCAGTGAAGTCACCGAAAAGTGTATTGATGCAAATTTGGTCCCACACTCAAAGGAAAAGCACGCCAAGATCACATGAGAATTGTTTAGACTGCTCGAGGAAGCAGGGAAAACCAACGTAGCTAGTTTCAGCAGATCTACCACCGCAAAGATCCTAGAAACACCTCTCAGGAAGGTGTCCGGAGAGACACACCTAGGTTGTTCTAGTGTTGATAAGGGCACCTAAAACACCGACAAAAATAGTCGAGATAAGTAGGCAATGTTAGGGCAAAGAGAAGTTAGGGCACCTAAACCAGCTTATAGAACAACAAATGGAGGACAGAAGATGTTAGAGCAAAAAGAGTAAAAGAGAAAGGTAGTGTCCCTTTATATTTAAGGTTGTGGTAGACTTATCCTATGGGGGTCGGTATCCTTTATAGATCGTATTGAAATACAACTCAAATGGATCTTGGCTGCTTTAAAATTGACTTAGCCGGTTTCCATGGGCTAGATCTTCCATGGAGCTTAATTTCCTCATGTGGACAAAACAATTATCCTTCTATATATCACAACGTCGTTTAAGGGTTGTGATTCTTACCCAGGCTTTGATATTAATTGAAGGACCGAAACAGGTGACCAGAGGGGTGGGGTGGGGGTGAATGGGAGACTCAAATTTTTCCTGCCAACCAAACGAGTGATATGTAGGCAATGTCCCAAAAACCAACAATACCCTCTCTTCTAGCTACTGCTAAGATCGTATAGTCACAATGGATCTACTGACCTTAGGAACAACGATAAGCTTATTTTTGCAGCCTATGAACTTTTGTAGAAAAGTCAAAACTTAGGCAAATGAACTCCAAAAATTGTGAAACTATGCACAAAGCTTGTCTACCCCCATTGGGAGAAGATATTCCCAAGAGGTCTTGACCAAAAGAATAAGACTTCTTCACGAATTTTGAGTTTCCCTAGTCAAATTGGGGTTTTGTCGAGAAAGCACAAAAGGATGAAATCTGGACGCTCGTGGAAAATCTATTGAAAGCAAGGCTTAGGTATGTTCCCAAGAGGTCATTGCATACAGATTGAGCTCATGAATCAATTGAGAACTCTCAGCTCAAATAAATCACAAACAAATGGACTTGAGGCAATGAAAAGAGGAATTTTGGGAACGAATCTTGAGGGTATGAGTGCTAGGGTTATACCAGTGACTTAGAAAGCAAGCTATTGGCTACAAAACCTTGGAAGCCAAGATTTCTGAATTGATCCGGTAAGAACCGATTAGAATTTTCTTGTAACAAACTAGGAAACCCATGTGTAACCGATAGGGATTCTATTTGTAACCTTACCTTCCGGACTATATAAGACAGGGTAGGGGACCCCCAATCGGTATCTCATTTGATGACATCATACGTAGTAGACAATCACATCAGTGCCCCCGTAAACCACCAAGCACAGAACATAAGAGATATATTCCCCACTGGATGTAGTGTACCCCGTACTTGAGCCAGTATACATCTACGTCCAGTGTGCTACCCCTCTGATTCCCTGTGCACAAAACACTACTGTCCATTATCGAGGACAAAACCTATGACAACGTGACTAACTAATGTCAACACGTGTCCAACTTCAGCCATGGTTGACTCCTTCGCCTTCCTTCTTGACTTGACTGACGCCACCTTCATCACACATGTAGATGCATGTCCAGCCTCCGCCAAGTGCCACGACGCCATCATCCTCCGCCTTGACTTGTTCAACGCCGTCTTGCTCTTCTTGTGCCCAATGTGAGCCGCCCATACTCCGTCATTGGCCTCTTGGTTCTTCAGTCCAAGCCTAATCATCTGTCCTTCACCGCTCCTGGTCCACCCGGCATGGACTCTGCATTTGACCTTCTCCGTCGCCGTCGACCAACTTGGTGCACCCAAAACTACACATTCACAAGGCAAGGGAGATGTTGCGCAACACACTCAACACAACACAACACAACATGACACCCCAGTTAGCCATTATCATAATCAAGCACATATGAAATACAAACTTAACTGGAAAGCCTCAAACCTCTCAACTCTTGTGTCAATAATTGATCACACATGGATGAGACCAAGGCATTTCTCAACTCGTCTCTCAACATTTCAGTTTACTCTTATGTGTTTAAACTTCTTTGTCACCATTTTTTCAAGAGCGTAAACCATTCAAAATATTTGTTTGCTAGCATTTAGTTAACTGTATACATAAGGGGATGGTGAATTATGTCCATTTCTACTTGGTAGTTTTTGACAGAGAAACTTTTGGCGCTGCTGACGCGACTGCTTATGCTGTCCATAGTGAAGAAGTATTCTCTGGTTCGCATGCATAAAAGTTTCCTTGCATTTGTCCTTCATTTTGTCTGCATTGACACACTCCACTGCACCGGGAAAAAAATGTCTTGTTTATGTTTACTACTACAAGTACATTCCTGTGCCGTGCACCATAGAAGTTCAGAAGAGGGGACCAAGGTAAACAAATGGACAGCATATGCCTGAGAAAGGTAAACAAATTACAAATGGCATCAATCATGCCGTGATATTATAACTACCCGTCTTCATCAGATGGCTGCGAACTAGATTAGACAAATCATGCATCAATGGCGATTACCATGACCGTTGCAGATAACTACATCTGAGAAGAAACAGAGACCTGACGCCTCCACTTCATCATCATCTGAGAATAACAAGGCCGGCATGCTTTTGTCCTGTCGTCCCTCGCAGGCGGCGGCGTTCACGGAGCAGCAGCTGAAGCAGCTCCGGGCACAGTGCCTCGTGTTCCTCTCCATCAGGTAATTAACACAGTTATCGAGTTCCTTACTTGCACAATTTAAACTGTTAATCCGCGAGGTTGCATTTTTCCATTGATCAACAGATCCCTGTCTCCTGTTTCTGTTCATTCAGAGAGATGGGTCTGATTTGGAGTTTTGGACGATGGCTGATGGGGTTGTGCTTGTTTAGATAGGTAGATGATCAAGCCTAAAGTTGTGTAATTACTAGTACTAAGGAAATAAATGAATTGTTTGTTATGTAGAAACAACATGGTGCCCACGAAGAAGCATCTGGAAATTGCACTCGGCGAATTTTCAGCAGAAGGTAAGAACTGGAACCAGTAGGTTACATGTGGATTTCAGGCTGGCACACAAACATTTTGTGGTTTCATTGGTCATCCTGTCCTTGATGAATATAACGTGAACTAACCCCATCTCGACGACCAGGCAGCAGTAGCCATGGCGGCAGCAGCGGCGGTGGAGACAACCGTGGCGAAAGCGAAACCGGCTTGTCTTCTGCGCCGGTAGTCAGCCTGTTCGGGAGGCCGTATCGTATCGTGGATTATTGACTGCTGGCTGGTTTGGTGTGAGAGAAAAACACTGTTCCCGGCTGGAAATTTACGATCGTTTACGAGCAAGCGAACAGGCTGAACTGTTCTCTGTACTGACTACTGTATTGCCACCGGCGGATCATCTGGACATGTCCAGGCTGGTAGGCTGTCGACTCCTCTGAGTGGCACAACCAGAAGAATTGTACGCCAAGGACCGCGCAAAATGTAGTGATCGATAGGGATTGCATATCATTACTGTTTTACCAGTCCTGTTGTATAGGGCATAGGCATTTCAGCATGACATTTTCTTCGGAAATCGGAGTCGAATGGTATATGCGAATACAGCAGATTAATTGCTCTATTATGCACAAACTCTTGTTCTTGTCTTGTAATAGCTGGTAACCCAGAGAATGATATTTTGCTTTCAGTATTTCGAACTATTGACTCAGGACCAATTCTCTGGTCTAAAAACCAGTTACCTTGTATTTGATTTCTGCATTTGTTACTTTATGTTCAAGAAGACATGTCACACGAGAACTTTGTTGCTCGCCATACCTGAGCAGCTCCCTTTTCTGGTGTATGCATGAATGAAGTTAATTAATTTTTTCTCTACATAGAAACTACTATATGAAAACCCATAAGTCGAGAAGGTTAGTTTCTACTCGATATTTATTGCTCTCTCAATACTCTAAAAACTATCTATGGAAGCTGTGGGATGCATGGGACGGGCCTGGGGAGCTAGCAGTTTGACTTGCTTTCAGTTGTATGTGATCAACAGTGCAAGCCACGTAATTTAATAGTAAGATTTGGAGAATGGATTGCCTTTTTTTTTACAATATCAATTCTTGGGCATTAAACTACATTTCTTTAAAACCATATAATTGGATGTAACCACATCAATTTATCTTAATGGAATATGATTACGGGTCTATGGGGTGTGATTGCTATATGTATATTGGCTGTAATGGATAATTACTAAGGTGCCATATGGTTGATTTTGTCCTGGGTGTCTCAATGGGTTGATTCTGTCCTAGGTGTCTAAATAGGCTCGTTCTACTCTATCCTAGTGCATAAATAGACCAGGACTAGAAAAAAGAGAAGGCTGGTGTAAACTAAAGGGAAAAGTCTATTTTACCTTCTCAACTGTCGCGAAAGTTAGATTTTCCTCCCTTAACTATAAAACCGGACACAACTCCTCTCTCATCTTCTAAAACCGGACATATGAGCTCCTTGGCTGTTTCCTAGGTGGTTTTCTCTCTCTCTTTTATCTTTATTTCGGATGAATCTTCAAAAAATCATAGTAAATCATAGAAAAATTATAAAAGAAAAAATCCAATTTTTTTAGACTCCACATGAGTAGATCTACACAATAAATCTATGATACGGTATGCTTTATAACAAATTTTTTGCTCTAGCTTTTGATCTATGCTTTTCATAATTAATTCAAAGCTGCAGTTTTTGTGGTTCATTTGTAGTGAAAATTTTATGGTGGGCCAATCCTTGTATGCTTGAGCTGTAATAAAAATTTCATGCTTATTTGATCATGTATGACTGAAGTATAGATTTATTCAGGTTTATGCTTGTTAAATAGTTTTCAAATTGTTAAATGAGTGTAAAAATAGAAAATGTGTGTTCTATGTGTAATGTTCTATGTGACAACAAGATTATGTTAAGTGTTCATAAGATATAACAATAGTAACATTACGTAGAGAACACATATTTTCTATTTTTACTCACTTTTAACTATTTAACAAGCATAAAACTGAGTAAATCTATAACTCAGTCATACATGAACCATTGAGCATGAAATTTTTACTATAGCTCAAGCATACAATGATTAGTCCACCATTAAAATTTCACCACAAAAAACTACAGTTTGAATTAATTACAGAAAAATAGATCTAAAGCTAGAGCAAATATTTTGTACTAAAGCATACCACATCATATGTTTACTGTATAGATCTAGTCATGTGGAGTCCAACAAAACTAGATTTTCTATTTTACAATTTTTCTGTGATTTACTATGATTTTTTCAATAATCCAGCAAAAATAAATATCAAAGAAAAGGAGAAAAAACACCTACGGAAATAGCTAGGGAGGTCACATGTCGGGTTTTAGAAGATGAAGGGGGAGTTGTGTCCGGTTTTCTAGTTGAGGGAGAAAATACTGACTTTTGCGATAGTTGAGGGAGACAAAATAGACTTTTTCCTAAATTAAATGGGAATGGTATACAATTAATTGAGCCTAGGCTGGTGTAAATTAAATGGGCTTGGTCTACAATTAATTGGGCCCACAAATACATTTGGCTCACTAAGACTCTAAGAGGATGCACATTTGGCACGTCACTACATGGGCCTTACTAGGCCTCAAGGTATTTAGCGATTTTTAGATCAGATCATGACAAAATGCAAATACCACAAAATTATTAAATACTAAGGATCACAAAATCTATGACGAAAAAACACATTTTCATCATAAAGCATTGTTTAACACACATAATTTATGACGAATGGGTTTGTCTCACAAACGTCATAGATGGTGCTACTATGACGAAATTTTTAAGATTCATGATGCAAATCGTTCATCATAGATCCCCATAATTCTTGTAGTGAGATCGGTGAGAGTAGAAGACCATGAACCCATGTTCAATAACCAGACCTAGAATTAAAACCATGGTATTCACACTTTAAAATTTTGTTAGTGAAATTGACACAATTTTTTTTTGGGAAATGACTCGATAACAATATGACAGCCTACAAGTTTATGCTGGTTAGTGTAACTAGATTAAACATGGGCTCCACTTGAAAGGCGAGGACCTAGACTAAACATTACTAAAATGTCTTTGAATAAACCGGCACAAGACAGGGCCAATTTATACTAATAAAGAAGAACTTTACTAAAAATGACTAAGTATCCCTTTTAATAAAATCACCTCCGTAGTTCTTTCTAAAAAATAATGACTAATATAATAGTTGGCTGTTTTGTGAATATTGATTAGTTGGGTAAGATTAGCATTTGGACCCCCCCCCCAACCCCATATTAGAAACATGATGGAAGGAAATTGAAGGGCGCTCTCCATCTTACCCAAAAGACACCTAATAGACGCTAGAAAATTTGACGCCTTAGTTTCTTCAATGGATCTTGGACATTGTGATAATAAATATCCAATCCAAATGCAAATGAATCAAGTCTAAGTTTATCCAAAGCACTAGGGTTTGATTGGACTTTGAACGATCCACATCTACTCACACGTCCTTTGACATGCATGAATCAATTAAGTTCACTTGAGATTTGTTCCCACAATAAGATTGGCTACATTGCACAAGAGCAGATCGATGATATCAAAGGTGTTCAGCCTTTCACGTTCAGATCCACTTAATAAAAGAAAATCACTTTAGCATTCCCATCCCGCGCCATGCCGGCGCTGCCGGCGCTGGCTTCTTCTCGAGCGGCGGCAGAGTCGATTGTGCACCGCACCGCTCGGCGCACATGCATGAACGTCCGCCGCCGCTGCAGTAGCCATAGACGTAGTTTTGTCCCGCCTTTTTCTTGCAGATGGTCACGCAACCCGCGTCGGACGTGCAGGTGACACCCGTGCTCGAATCACAGAGTGCTGATCCGCCTGCAACCAGAAGAGTCTATTTGTTCATTTGGAGATTCAGAGAGCATTAGCGAGCCATGTTTTGCAGGAAGTTTGCATTTAGCAGCCAAATGTTCTCCTGCAAACCCACCAAATGAGGAAGTTTCTTCACCATTTGACGCGATGAGCATGGCCAAGGTGAGGCCAACGACCACTGCTGCTAGTTTCTTGTAAAACGACGCCATAGCTGTATATATGTGGGGTGCAACGTATAAACCAAGAGAGCTGTTGTATTGGATATTTATAGAGACGCTGGCTGGCTAGCTAGCTAGAGGCGGGCCATCAGGTTATCATTTGCCCTATAAAGATATGCAAATAAATCCACTTTCTGTTTTGATAACTAATAATTGTTATATTTTGGTAACTAATTTTTTAGAAAAAGGGAAATATTTTGGTAACTAATAATTTGCATATGATGTGGTACGTATATGCATGGTTTTGATTATAAGTTAATGATTTGCCCCAGTAAAAAAATATATGGCGTCCACGCGGGCCCGCACCACCAGGACGTCGCCTACAAGAGCCTGTGTTTCTCGCGCCCACGCGGGGCCCGCGCCGCCCTGACATTGCCCACCCCACACACCCCCTTCCGCTTCCCTCGCACATCCCATGTGTAACACCCCGATATACTTTTATAATATTTATATGCAACACTTGCAACATACAAAAGAAGACAGATGAAACATATAAAACGTGCGCCTGAAACACATGCAAAAACACCTAGAAACACTTAAAAACCATTGCAAACATATGCAACATACAGACAAAACACTTGGAACATATGTGTGAACCATATATAACATCCAGATAAACGCTTGTAACATACGTCTGAAATAAACGAAACCTTGGGAACAGACACTTGCAACATACCTTTGAAACACTTGCAACATGTGCAACATCCTGATCTACTTTTGCAACATACAGATGAAACACATGCAACTTCCATATGAAACATATAAAACACTTGAAACATACGCTTGCATCATGCGCTTTCAGCATAATGTCACTATGCTGCTTGGACAAATGGATGCTCGACAGCTCGATGTCGGCGCGGAGGCCAGCGGTGCCGCATGGAGCTCGCCGGTGCAGCAGTAGCCGCGCGGCCCACCTGCGATTCTCCAACGCCTGCTACTCCAGCGCTGCTGCTCACTCGGCCGCAATCGTCCAATGCCTTGTGCTTGCAGGGGATGGGGCGCGGCGCAGCCGGTGATGGGGTGCGGCGCGGTGGGGGAAGGGGGCGCATTGGGGCAGACGGATGAGCGGCCCGGAAATACTCAGCCACGCCGCGACGAGCGGATGAGCGGAGTGGGGAATTTTTTTAGAGGTCAGTCGCTGCGCAGGATTGGCAGCGCCGACGGGACGGATGCCCGTGGCTGAGCATTTCGGAAACATATATGGCTTAAAATCATTATAGCAACAATCTATGGCCCTTTAAATTAATATGGTGCAAAAATCATGGCAACAGCAATCTGCGAGTACTTTAAATAAGGTGCAAAATCATTGTACCAGCTATCTATGCCCCTTTATGTATGGCAGATTGTAGCCAGCAGGGATGCGAGTATCCGAAGAGGGATTGCAAATGCATAGTTGAACAAAAAAATAGCAAAATTTTTTTTCCTGGACACAGACCAACGCTAAGCTACCAAGACGGTCGCCCGAGATACACGCGCTTGTGTGATTTGATCTAGACTTTTAACCCACAAACCTTCCATCTCACAAGATCCTTGTTGATTAAAATTTTGGGATGACATTTTAGCAACTAAATGACACTTCAAGATATTATTGAATCCTAAACTCTCATATAGAGTTTGTCATCCACAAATAGTTATGAATTTTAGAAACAAGTTGAATCTCAAATTACAAATATGAGAAGTAATTACTGGCATTATAATGACATGGCACAAAACAAACACATACTCCCACCGTCCAGTAATATACTAAGCATCAAAAAATTATGCATAACTATAAGGAGGGAATAAGAGATAGTTTTGCATTAAATAGTAGTACAAATTTGATAGGTATTATATCTCATTACTTGTCATTTTACCAACTAATCTCCAATAATCACGCTGATGATTGCGTCTGATTAGGAATGTAGTAAGGGTATGTGTCTTTTGTATTTCTCTTCTTGTATTTTAAAATATCAAGAATACAATATATAACAAGATAGAGGAGGTATGTATATTTGCTTTCTTCTATTCGAGCAACTCTACCAGTAGCCTTCAAATTAAGACCTCTACTTTTGATTGTAGGTCTCAACTAGTTTTGAGGACTTGGGGGTTCATATTTTAGAAGGGCCTCAAATCAGGGCCCCTACTTTTATTTATCCCCCCTTGGACAAATAATCTATGCATTATATATATTTATTTGACACTACATCAATTCAAGCTACAATATTAGTAGTTTATACAAATGACTAGTATTAAACTGGTGGGCGTAGCTCGAGTTCAGGCCTTAGCAGCCATGTTCCCATATATAACGATAGGAATGATCAGGAACGTTGAGCGATACCCGTATGATACTTTTACAAGATTTTTGCACTGTGGGAACATAATGCTATTTTTACAAGATACTTTTACAGGAGTTCAGGCGAAATGCTATTTCACAATAATTAATTTCATCATAGCATGTGTGCCACGCCACTCGCCATGTCACCCGATATGTCAATTGTGACACGTTAATGATGATGTGGGCTCCCTATTCATCATGTTGTGATGTTTTTGTTGACAATTAGAAGCATCATTTGTTTAGTGACAAAAGTGTCATACGACATTATTTTTCTTTGATTCATCATAGAAGGGGTTTAGAGAGCCACCTATGACAACAGTATTTTCATCACCGTAGGCGTACTATGACCAAAGAAAAATCCTGTCAGTGACGTGTATGCCTTGTGGCAAAAGAAAACATTCCAGGTTACTAGCTTAACCCAACAAGGCATGTCCTGCTTATTATAAACTTTGTGGAGGTACGCTGGAGGATGGATAGCCTTGATCTGAAATCGAAGATCAAACAATTGAAGTCATGGCCCAAAAAAAAACAACTGAAGTTGTTTTATTTATTTTCTCCACCCTTTTAACAAGAACTAAGCGAGCTTATCTCCACTTTTTCTGTACTGAACTTTCCGGATCCTGATACGCAGTCGCATCGCCAGATAATAAGCCATAGAGATGCGCATCCAATTCAGCGCGCACGCAGTGTCTCTATGACGTGGACGGATGTTTGTCTAATGTCAAGGGCAAGTATAATTTCTCTTTGTGGTCCACTTGTCACACATCGTCCATTGTGTCGCCAGCTACTACAAAACAAGGATATTGTAACACATTCTCGTAACACATTCATTGATGTGTTCCAAAGAAATTTCATAGTAACACAAAACTATGTGTTACAAATGTGGATTGTAACACAAAAGACTTGTTTTACAAAAATGTGTTACTAACAACAATTATAGTAACACAAAATTAATGTTACAAGTAAAATGTTACAATAGTGGTACTATATTGTAACACATTAATGGAACAGATGAAATGTGTGACAAATATGCACCCTATAGTAACACAAAATAATGTTACCATTAAAGTGCTACAAAGAAATATATACACGTGAACTTCCAATTCTAAGTTGCAAGGATGTCGCATTGTGTGTCGAGTGTCTTCCTAGGTAATAGGCCATCACATCGTGGTCCTCACATGACACTAGAGTAGGAACGGGTAGGCAATTAAGAAGGTCGTAATTGAGCAGAACCAATGTTCTAAAATGCCTAAAAATTAAAAAACAAAAAGGTATTGCAGTGTGTCTAAGAACCAACTTTTTAGTCTAAGAACAATACTTGAGGCAATTTCAAAAAAAAATGCCTTCACAAAAGAATGAGATGATTTGGAGACCCCCTTCACTTTGTTTTTTAGGTGATATCAGGAATATTATGAACAGTCATGTAGACCATTTACATATAGTATATGAATTCATAGAGATCTCAAGACTAAATAAATATCCATGTATGTTCTTCAACTACAGGACCATGCATCCACATACTTGAGCCCTGGAACAAGGTGACAAAATATTAATCAGGAATGATAGAAAAAAGGGACTATTGTAAGAATGTTGCTATACTATAATTGGAAAAATAATAATAAAGCATCTAAAACTAAGACAATTTCAATTGATATTGTGCCAAAATTACTATAAATAACTATGTCAATATAGCTGCAAGTACTGAATAAAAGTGAACAAGAGTGGACATAAAGTGGATTCAAGCGGATTCTTTTCATCTCTTAACATGGGAAAAATATATTGGGTAGCTTATAATGTCAAATAATGTTCAAGTAACCAGTCATATGTCCATTATCTTGTTCTAAGTAATTCCATATGACCATAATTCAATGTTTTTTAACATGTAAGTAAGAATAAAAGCATATAGATTAGGATGATCCAACATTTTTAACTTGAGTAGGCATAAGAACTTTTTCGTGGTACCATCTGCTATGCTTTGGACAACCTAGCAATATAGCCACAACAATGGTAAGCCAATGATTAACAGAAGAAGCACTGCATAAATATTATTAATATTAGCTTACAATATTTAGAGAAGAATTAAAAATCTCGCTTCTTAAATCTACGTACATACCAGAGCTAGATGTATCTTTCATCTTTTCCCAAAGACAACTTTCAAAACTATTATTATGCCTAAACCAAGATTCACAACGCCCTGGCTCTAAGAATGGGCTGAGGTCCAAACCAAAACCACACCAAACCATGTCCACCATGCTATGCTATTTAATCCATACCAATCCATTCATCCACTCGATGTAAAACCAACCCATCCATAGCTGTAACACATGCCCCCTACACCAAATTAAACCAATGTCTCACCTGTGGGTTGAGCCCATTAAAGTCTATTTGCCAAACAATGGGTTCAATTCGCTTCTAATATTAAGCCAACAGACAGTCTCGGTGCATCAAGGTTGGTAACCAGTCTAGCACCACCTGCCAAAGCAATGTTGGCAACAGGTGTATGTGTATCTAAACCAGTCAAAACAATGTATATCAATTTGTTTACCTCATTGATGAATTTTGATGTGTCCATACTGCCATACTGCCATGGCTTTCTGGTGTGGGTATGGCACCCATCCAAGCTCCAAACGGGGAAACAAATGATCTGTTTTGTGGTGATGGTGCAGCCCACCAACCT